GAGGAGGGGAGAGAGAGGGGGGCGTTGACCGAAAGTAAGACAGAAGTATAGATAACGGGATACAGGTTGTTATAAAGAAGATAGAAAGTAATAAAGGAAGAGAGAGAGAGAGAGAGAGAGAGAGAGAGAGAGAGAGACAGAGAGAGAGATAGAGAGAGAGGGGGGGAGAGAGAGGGAGAGAGAGAGAGAGAGAGAGGAAGAGATGTGTGGAGGCCAGAGAGAGTGTTAGTACAAAATCTACTGATAGATATTCTTTATGTGTGTACGCAAATGTATGTATGTCTGTGTGTGTATGTATAAGTGTGTGTGTGTGTGTGTTTGTTTGTGTGTGTGTGTTTGTGTGTGTATGTGTGTGTGTGTGTGTGTGTGTGTGTGTGTGTGTGTGTGTGTGTGTGTGTGTGTACACGTGGTGAAACACCAAACCAATGTGCCAGAATCCGGACAATAAAGGAAAATAAAATTTCTTATATATTAATTTTGGTTAGTTTGCTTTACGTCCTTGAAATTTGTATTACAGTTGAGATATTATAAGAGGCTAGCTGCTTCTATCCGGTCTGCCACAGCTGACTCGGAAAGGGATATATCCCGGCTAGAAAATGGAAAATAAAAATAAATCTAAACAACAGCCATCTTATACTTACTCGGAAATACACTCGCGCCCACGTTTCCCTCAACAAAAATGTATACTACCCATCCTATCCTTGCCCCCAGTTTTCCTCTCCTGGCTCACAGCTTCCTTGAGGTCTCTGTCATGTTCCTGGACCATCTGGAAGTTAAACCCTTCCCAAAAACAACAACAATGTGGATAAAATAATATACAAAATGCACACTTAAAAACAAAAACCGAAAACTAAAAACAAACAATACCTAACCCAACAACAACAATAACAACAACAACAACAACAACAACAACAAGACGTATTATTTGACTACGGTCGTTCATTAGCAAAGTTTGTTTTGCTAGTCTCCAGTTTTGACCGAGGTTCACAACAGTTATCAATTGGCTCCTACAAATCTCGAGGCTCATACTCGAAAGGTCTGAACATTTGGTTGTCCTTTCCATCCTGAACTAGTTCCTCTCAATCTTATGTCCAGATGAGGGAACGAAATAACTCACCTATTAAGTGAAGTGCATTGATTTAAGAGGTCTTAAATTCAGTTAGCATCCATATTCTTGCCTTAAAACTTTCGTGATCGTTTATTTCTTTTACATCCACTCTAGGTCAAGGTGACCAGGCCCGACCAACCCTGAAGCATGTGATCTCAAGCGCCTAAGAATCCCACGTCTACTCATTCTGTGTGGTCGTGGCTCAAACTCCTAGCGACATGCCCGAGACTCATTCATGTATCACGTCTCAAAAAGTCCTCACCAAGTTCACCACAACTGTTTCTCTCATCGCTATGCTGTTCCCGGCGGCGATGGCCTTAGCTACGAAACACCTCCACCCGCCCATGACGGCACGACTACAGGAAGATCCCCTATCTCTACAGTCGCCGTCAGCCCTCCGGTCGACTGTATCGGGGACAGAGAACGCTAGTTCCCTCGATCATACCTATGAAGTCCAGGTGGTGGTGGAAAGAGAATTCAGCGCCAAATCTGGACGAGAGGACGAAATAAATGCTCTGAATACGGCGGCCGCTGTAGCGGCTACCGCTGCTAGTACCACAACTCCTATTAACAACAATAGTTACAGCCACTGCATCAATTTGACTCTGTCAGAAATCCAGACAAACTACACAGAGTGCCTACATCCGCTGCCAAAAGAGCTCTATTTCACAGACGACAACGCTGTATCTGTGGCAGCCTACAGTTGTTTATTTGTGGTGGCTGCTGTCGGTAACTTGACAGTATTCATAACCTTGTTCCGGAACCGTGGGGTTAAGTCACGTATTAATATGTTTATTATGCATCTCGCTATCGCAGACCTTATAGTGACATTCATGATGCTGCCTCTAGAGATTGCCTGGCATTCCACTGTGGCATGGAAGGCTGGAGACGCTGTGTGTCGTCTGCTCATGTTTTTTCGCGCTATGGGTTTCTACCTCAGCTCCTGCATACTCGTGTCAATCAGCCTGGACCGTTATTTCGCTATAATGAAGCCTTTATCGATATCAGACGCCGGAAACAGGTCCAAGATGATGCTCACTATTTCCTGGTTCTTGTCCATCGTTGCTAGCATTCCTCAGGTAAGAAGTAATCTTTGTTATTGTCTGTGTGCGCCAAAATCTTTTGTTGAATGTCGTTTAAAATGATGCTGGTAGAGGTAAAACAGATATCCGTCAAAACATCTTTGGTCGGGATGTGCTTTACCAATATTTTTTGTTGTTGTTGTTGTTGCTGCATGCACTTCTGCCAACTTTCAATGATCTCTTCCTCTTCATTTGTTTTCAGTTTAAACGTGCATGGCTATAACGGTTATTTATTAAAAGCCTACCTAGTTTTGCGTCATCCTCACGTATTTTTTCAAACTGTATTATGTTGTCTGCATCTCTTTTGTTATAATTAAGTTCTACTTAGGAATATAATCACGTGACTTCAGTAAAATCTATTTTTACATTCGATGACGTCTAACATTTTCCCCCCGGTCAGAATGGCACGACCATGATGTTGTCAACAATTCAATTTTCCTGATATGCCGGTAGCTTTCAAATGGAGATTGTCGGTGCGGATATGGATCTGGAGCTGGGTTATGGATAATTGAATCTAAGCTGTGCTGAAATGCCTATGAGTTAAAAAAAAAAAGAAAGCACATCGGGGTATGCGCAGAGTTGTTTCCCATAGAACGGAAATTCATTGCTTGTTGGCTTCCATTTACAACAGAAGCATAAAGCCATAATGAATAACGAATATAAAGAAGGAATGGCGGAGCGAAATAACGGTGACATAATTTGAGCTGACGGTTTTAAGTTTAGCCATTTAATTTTCCGGTGCACGGGCTTTGTAAACGCATAATGACGTAATGCGTAAAACGAGAATATAGGTAAATATTTCCTTTTATATTAGACCAGAAATTAAATTGAGATCCAATTCTATTTTAAGACCAATGAAGCTTGAATTACGCTCAACTTTCCGCAATATTAGTATATTATATAGCTTCCGGAAATGCTAGAGCAGAGATGTGTCTGTTGGCCTCCTTTATTTTACGCTGGTTTTTTAGAAAGGATGTCATATTCATATTTTGCACGTGACATCTTGTAAGATAGGAAACATGACGTGTTCGACGTTATGAAATGTGATGCGGTCATCGAAGAACCGTGCCAGTCTGTTACACGCGTACTGCACCTACTTGTACTAGCTTTTTTTTTCATTTAACTTTGTCATTTTCCTACTCCTGAAAGTGCAACGAGTATGTATAGCCTCTGATCTGTTCACAAACCAAAGACTTAGTGAAAAGAGTAAGTGCCAACACTACTTCCGTCTATGAAAGGTCTCTTTTGAGACTGGTTTAAAAGTAATTAGGACTGGACTGCTCAAAAGCAAGAACATTTCCTTTCAGCATTAGTGAAAACAAATTCACATCCGGGTCCTTTTCATCTCACCGAGGAGCTCTACTTTATATTACTTTTTGTCACACTCTTCCCACATTTCTCTAAACCACACACAAAAAACAACAAACAGAACAATATACTCTACCCTTTTTTCACTCTCCTCCTTTTTCCTCCTCTAACCCAAACAACTAAACGAAGCGTCAAGTAACGATTTTGTTGGCCGCGAGAACTCGACACTGTCTGCAGCTAAACAGCCTAATGGACACGCCAGCCATACTATTACGGTCCCTCCGTACTTCTTTTCCGTCACGACGATTTACTCACAAACTATATATAATTTAAAGCTAACGGCATGAATTTTCCGCCAAGTTAAGACTTCAATAAATATGATTGGTCAAACCATAGGAGGCAAACTGCGTTGATTATTTTCAACCACAAACCATCTGAGATATTACGGTAATGATTGTCCTGCCCACGACCAGGCCAAAACTGAAGCTGTAGGACTTTGTACACGTTCGTACCCCACGAACTGGAAACGTTATTCAGAGCAGTTGTCATATTGTAGGAGTGTACAATTAAGAAAGCAAGGTAAACAACTGATTTTTCTTTGCACCATTGTATAGTTGCAAGGTCATAGAATAACGAGAGAAGATTGCAACAACTCACACAATGATTTTACTCAGATTGCTTGCAAACAATTCAGGGTCAATATAAAAAAACAACAACAAAAAACCCAACCCAATTTGAATCCGTGTATAGTTCACTGTTTTATTCTGACAGGAGGCCAGTGTATAATGATAATAACAATAACAATAACAACAACAATAATAATAATAATAATAATAATAATAATAATAATAATAATAATAATAATAATAATAATAATAATAATAACAACAATAGATATATAATATATTATTATGTTGGTGTTTATGTGTTTATGAGTGTATGTGTTTGTGTGTGTGTGTGTGTGTGTGTGTGTGTGTGTGTGTGTGTGTGTGTGTGTGTGTGTGTGTGTGTGAGAGAGAGAGAGAGAGAGAGAGACTGAGAGAGAGAGAGGGGGGGAGGAGAAGGAGAGGAAGAGAAAGACAGACAGAAAGAGAGAGAGAAAGAGAAAGTGAGTGAGAGAGAGGGAGAGAAAGAGAGTGAGAGAGACTTTGAGACCCCGAGAGAGAGAGAGAGAGAGAGAGAGAGAGAGAGAGAGAGAGAGGGGGAGGGAATGAGAGATAGAAATAGCGAGAGAGAGAGAGAGAGAGAGAGAGAGAGAGAGAGAGAGAGAGAGAGAGGGAGAGAAAGAGAGCGAGAGCGAGAGAGAGAGAGAGGGGGAGAGAGAGAGAGCGAGAGAGAGAGGGAGGGAGAGAGAGAGAGAGACTGAGAGAGAGAGAGAGAGAGAGAGAGAGAGAGAGAGAGAGAGAGAGAGAGAGAGAAAGAGTATTTTTCCAGCTCAGACATAGACACTGGGAATCCCATCATGTTTTAGTCATCACTTCAAAATGGATCGTTATGAGAGACTCCCGGAACGGTTTTGATAAGAGAACAAATTATGTACATGTACTCGTTTGCTTCTAGCTAATCCCTCTTTGGCTTGCCGTTGGAAATGTTTTGCCCTTAAGTGCGGAATCATAAATGCGACAACAAGAAGAGACAGAGCCTCGAAGCTTATTTAAAACGTTACATTTTTTTTTCTTCTCATCGTGAACTCTCAGACATTGTCAGTGACAATGGCCTAGCGTCCCCTGTACCTTCCTCATTTCAGTAATTTGGTTTTCGAGCTTAACATAATTACTTGCATACCTCGCTCGACTGTGTCTTTTACTTATGATATTGAGCGTGCTTTAAGGTTCAGCAAGGAGTAAACGAGAGGGGGGAGGGAGGGATAACTGTTTCTTCTAGACAGTATCTCTGGTTTTCTCTCTTTTTTCTTCTTCAAATCACTATGCTTTAAATATTAACAGCCGTTTCACAAGGAAAAAAAATACAAAGAGTCTTGGTATGAGAAATTTAAAAAGAAGTATTACTTTGTATTCAGCACAATATTTTACGATCCAAAATCATATTTTCCCTATATCTCAATGATGATGCTGTCTGCTCCTGTAATTTACGACCTAGAATGCTCAATAAGCGTGGATATTCATGGCTATTTGTTTTTACAGATGTCAGATTCAGGTTCTTTGCAATAACTCATTTCTTTGGCTGTTGGATTTGAGCACCGCATTGAACTTTTTATGTCTCAGACGAAACAAGAATTTCCCTAGGAGAGAAAAGATGAGAAAATATAACATAAAATAAAATAGATACAATTAGAAGAACTGCACTGTGTCTTAGTTAAAAACAAACCAAGACTAGCATTACATGTTCACCTACAGGAAAAAGAAATGATATTCTTGTTTTAAGCGCCCAAAAAACTCAGACGCTCAAAAACATGCATACCCACACAAACGCATGTAGAAGCACAAGACATGCTCTCCGAAACACACAAACTTGCAGACACAAAGTTTCTCTTCCATTCTCTATCTGGCTCTTTGACTCCCTCCACCCCCCCCCCCCCCCCCCCCGGCCCAACTTGTCTGTCTTCCTTCCATCTATATCCATACCCGATATCTCTCCGCCCCCTCTCTCTCAATCTTCTTGTATTGCCCTCTTCTTCACTTTATCTCTCTCTCTCTTTCTCTCTCTTTCTCTCTCTCTTCTCTCTCTCTCTCTCTCTCCCTCCCTCTCTCTCTCTCTCTCTCTCTCTCTCTCTCTTTCTCTCTCTCTCTCTCTCATTCATTCTCTCGATAATACATTCATAAACGTCTGATGCACACCTCCAACATTAATGATTTTGTTATTCTGGAAGTACACAGAGGATTGTAGATACCTCGAAGGGGGAGAAAATAATTATGACAGCTGCTGAAAATTCAAAGTTTGAATTAAGTTCTGAAACTCTGACATAACAGGCGAACACCCCCTCTATAAACAGACCGTGGTAGATGCTTTGTGATTAATAAAAACATATTTTAGCTAACATTCTAGTTACCACCACTGGAATGTCTTTCTCATTATCTGGAAAAGTATCAATAGAAAATAACACCGCCCTGTTACGTAGCAGAACGTAAGAGGACGTATAATGAGACGAATTGAGAAAGGAGATGTGAGCTTTGTGTAATCAATCAGTTGTCTCTGATCTGTCCTCTAGCAAGTGCTTCGGAAGGGAGGCAGACTGAAACGAAACCGAGACTAGTCCGTTGGGAGGAACTTGGATCTTGTGGCCAAAAAGGATTTGTGAGGAAAAGGGGGAAAGGGCTAGCTTTTTTTTTGGGGGGGTGGTAGGGAGAACAGAAAGGGGAAGTGAGGTCGGATGGTTTTTGTTGTGGGTAAAAGAACGAATAATGAGAAGGTTAAAGGGGATGAGGGGGATCGTTCTCTGGGAAAATGAGGACAAGAAAAAAATCAGAGTAGAAAAGGATAATTAGGGAGAGAGAACAGCAGAGATTGAGTGAGAAAAAGAGAGAGAGAGAGAGAGAGAGAGAGACAGAGAGGGAGAGAGAGAGAGAGAGAGGAGGAGAGAGAGGGAGAGAGAGAGAAAGAGATAGAGAGGATGGGGGGGGGGGGGGGCTAAGATACGGAGATGTGGGGCGGTTGGGGGAATAAAGGGAAAAAAATCGTTTGAATAAAGATGAAACGAAAGAGAGATATGAAGAGGGAGATAAACAGAG